CTTCTCAGCACACACACACACACACCGCACACGACAAACACTCTCAGCACTCACACAACACACGACAAACACTCTCAGCACACGCACACACGCACGCACGCACAGCACAGCACAGCAGACATATGAGGAAGACAAAGAAAGGGAATGACAATGATCGGTTATGGCGCCACCACGGGGTGCGTAGTGCAGCTAAGGTAGGACGGCGAAAAGGCGAGGGGTCGTGACAATGACCTGAGGACTACAGAGAGGATGCTAGGGCGAAGAGGGTGGTAGCTGAGTCTAAGTGAGATGATGTTGGGTCCACCCCGCCATCGTCACACATGGACGGAACAGCCAGCACAGCACAGCCACGGACAACAACAAGTCGATGCGGTGGCCAGCGTATCTGAGTATGGCCCCAATCCAATCCAAGTATGGACGACGGCTATGGATGAGGTGGGCAAGAAAGAAGGGGAAAATGGAAGAAAACGGGCGTGTTTGCAGACATGACAGTGGCGTCTTGAAGTGCACTGGTTCGATGAAGAGCCCAATCAGAGAAGGAAGGTCGGTCAGAATTCACAACACGACTGAGACGGCCGCGCGTGTTGACTGCTCGGCTGTTGTACCACACTTGCACAGACTGCACAGATGGACTGCACAGACACAGGACACTGAGTGCATCACTGAGCCAGCGAGAGGTTGCCAATCCCTTGCTCCAGGCCCGTGGTGTCATGGGGGGCATAGTGCTGCGCTGTCGAGTATGTCGAGAACGACACCATGTGCGTTGGCGATTGCGGCATGTAATCGTACTCCGGCGCAACCTAATGTGTGTGTGTATGTGTGTGTGTGTGTGTATGTGTGTGTGTTTGTATTTGAGGCGGGAGTGGAGTTGGAGGGAATCAGAGTGAGCTGGGGATGCTGGCACTGCAAGCACAAGGAATGCGCAGGAACATCAAAGTCTCGTCCATTCCAGGACAAGAGCACAAGAGAAGAAAAGCGGGGAGTACGCCACGCAGAAAAACAAGGGGCAGGGCAGCAAAGGAATATCAGTTTGGAAACAGCTGATGGACCGATAGAACTGATACAACGACCACCCCACCCCACCCCACCCCCCGTCCTCGATGCCGCGGCCATCACGACGACGGACGCTCACCTGGTGCTGCTGACGCATCATGTCGTGGAGGTTGTTTGGGTCCATGAGCATGCCCGATGACCCATCATCGATTGGAGAGGAGAGAGGCACCTGGCTGGTCGCCTGGCCCGGCACAAACTGCCGGAAATGGGCTGCCGCAAAGGGCTGTGGCGGAAGCCCCTGCGAGGGGAAGGACGCAAAGTCGTGGGCTGCTGTTGCCGTGGGGTTGCCATAGGTGGCAGGGGAGTGCGGGAACGTGGGGTGGTGGTGGTGGTGAGGGTGGTGGTGAGGGTGGTTTTGGAAGAAGGCGGGTGCGGGGCTGGTGCGTGCATGGTGAGCCGTGTGGGCAGCGTGGGCGTGTGCGTGGGGCGCGTGTGCGTGTGGCGGCGGTGGCGGACGGAAGTAGTGCTGTCCAGCCTGGGGGTGGACGCGGGAAGGCTGGTGCCTTGCATGGGCAGGGTGAACGTGCTGTTGATGTTGCATGGGAAGGTGTTGAGGGTGAGGCAAGCGGCCCTGGGGGCGATGCTGTTGCTGTGGATGCTGCTGCTGCTGCTGCTGTTGCTGCTGCATGTATGCACGGCCATGTGCAGAAGTCATAAATGGCTGTCGAAGATACCGAAAGTCGGTGTGCTGCGAGGATAACGACAACGTGCACACATATGTGTGGTGTGAGTGAGTATGGAAAGTATGTGTGTGTGTGTGTTCAGAGGGTGATAACGGGGACAGGCAACCACGCGCGCGCGCACATGCGCACGTACGCACACACACACACGCACACACTGAAGCACACGGCAGAGGAGACGGAAAACTACCAGCGGAACGACACGATTGTGTTTGTCGCCACTTTCGGTTCACCAATGAAGCAAGTGCAAGTGCTTGCTTGCATGCAACGCATAATGGACCATCTCGTGACAACACGGTGTTGAAAGGACCTACCACGTAGAAGAACACGGCAGGGTTGTCAAGCAGCGTCTGCATGATGCGTGTGATGGCTCTGACAGGCATGCCACCATCGGTGCAGTTGATGGTGACAATGCGCTCCTGCAGCGCCGGCGGCACTTCGTGCTGCATAGAAGAACCGAAGAAGGGAGTGAGGGAGTGAGGGAGTGAGGGAGTGAGGGAGTGAGGGAGTGAGGGAGGGAGTGAGGGAGTGAGGGAGTGAGGGAGAGGGGGGGGGGAGAACATTAGCGAATGTGTGTGTGCGTGTGAGTGTGTGTGTGTGCGTGTGTGTAGGTGTGTGTGTGCACGTGTCGAGTTGCATGAACATGCACAACATGCACCGTGGTTGGTTGTGCTTGGTGCACTGGAACCGACATAGATCGGGTGGAGCATGCAGGTGCGTTCAGTGCTTGCGCGAACTTACGCGCTGGGACATGTGGATGTAGGCATCGCATTCGGTCTGCATGGTGCGAATGGTTTCACCGCCACGGCCCAAGATCAGGCCAGCGGCCACCACAGGGATCACCAGTTTCACAGAAATGGACCGTGGGCCCTGTTGCTGCTGCTGCTGCTGCACCTGATCCTGCGCCTGATCCTGCGCCTGCTGGTGGTTGCTGTTCTGGGGTGTGCCTGGGGTTGTAGACCCGGCACCTTGCTGCTGTGGGTCGCTGCGGGCGTTTGCGCACTCCAAGATGGCCAGAAGGGCGTTGAGGAGGTGCTGTGGCCGTGCCTGCACGGAAACAAGGCGGTCTGCTGTGCCTGGGTACAGTTCGGAGTTGTGGGAGATTTTGATGTACGAGTGTGTGCTGTCCTGCAGGTCCTTGATGGTGGCACCGCCGCGTCCAATCAGCATCCCACATTGGCCGTTGGTGGCCAGGAACTTGATGTGCATTTGCTCTGCGGTTGTGTGTGTTTGCGTGTGTTTGCGTGTTGATGAACGGGAGCGTGCATGCACGGAAGATTTTGATATTTGGTTGGTGAACCGTTTCCACACAACACACTTCACACAACACACGTGTACACACACACACACACATCATGCATGGGTGTAAACACACACACGCACACACACACACATCATGCATGCATAAATCTCACCTGTGTCATCGCGCGCTGCGGACGGTGGTGGCTTGTCAGCGGATGGCTGCTGCTGCTGCTGCTGTTGCTGCACCTGTTGTTGTTGCATGTTGTGCTGTTGCTGCACCTGCTGCTGCACTTGTTGCTGCACCTGCTGCTGCACTTGTTGCTGCGGTGTCTGATGGCTGTCCATGTTGATGGGGTCGATCTTCAAATCACAAACAAAATCACACACGTCACACGCGTCTTGCCAGAGACACAATGAATGAAGAAAGCAAAGCAGAAGACCAATCGCAACGTCAAGACGTCAAGTGTTGTTGTTGTTGCCTGTTCACCTGCACTTCACTCACGTCACTCAGGAAGCAAGGACGCCAGTGGACAGAAGCAAGAGAGAGGGAGGAAGGCTGCAAGACTAACGAAGAAGAGGAGAAGCAAAAGGAACAATCGAAACACAGGAACACTGAGATGAAGCGAGCAAAAGCAAGCCTAACAAGAAGAGAAGAGAAGAGAAGAGAAAGGCAAAAGGCACCCCAAGCACGTCGTAAAACCAGCGAGCGACAACCTCGACAGCTGCTAGCTGTGGGAGGCAAAACAGAAGAAGGGAAGTCACACAAAAGCACGCAAGCTATTCAGATTCACTGCTGCTGTGCCAGACAGCTCATCAAGTGGATGGATGTATGTGTTTGTGTGTGCTTGTGTGTGTGTGTGGTGTGGTGTGGTGGGGTAAGAGAAACAGATGCGCGGCAGTGCTGCTGACGGCTGAGAGAGTTGGGACGCCGGAGCGCGCGTGTGGAGTGATGTGATGGTACCCAAACGATCGCTGACGCGGAAGCAATCATGTGATGTGAGTGGGACCTACCCACAGCAAGGAGAGAGGTATGCGCGGTGTGCCGTGTGCGTGCGTGCGTGTGCGTGCCTGGTGGGATTGAAGGCAGAACACAAAAAAGAAAACCAGGCCAACGACACAACAACGCAACACGAAAAGGGAAAACACGCAAGTGCCAAACACACAACACAACACCACAACACAGCTGTGCGATGATGATGTGTGCGTGTGGGGAAGGGACAACAAACAAACAACACCACAAGCAGAAAAAACAATGCAGCGGCAGCGACAACGACCAAACCGACCAAACCGCAGATAAGAGAGAGAAACAAGCATGCACGCAGTCCCGAACGCCAATCAACCCAAAGAAAGAAAGGCTTAAGCGTGCAGCCAGCCAACCAGCCAACCGCCGCCAAGGCACGCAAAGTTGGCCCGCCGGTTGGGTTGGTGGGAACAAACGGAATGAGGTCGTGTCGTGTTTTGGCGCGACAACAACACCAACAACGCAGTTTCCCAACAGCCAGTGCATGCGTGACCAGTGTGCTTGAGAACACGCTCCAATTCGCCACTGAAAATTCGCCAACAATGTTTGTCGTCCCACATCAGCAATGCCCCTGAAAACATGCCGCGTGGCACCGAGGATACCATGCTCTTTTAACGCGCGTGCAGAACTTTAGTTACATTTCATGATGTCGTGTTTCCTTCCCTCCTTCATCTTTTCCGGACACGACTTGCTTGCCAACACGCTGGCCGTTCTGGCTGTGGCAGAGGTTCATGATGAGATGAGAGGCAAGACGGAAAGGGCGATGAACGACAGGAACAACACAGGAAGGACTCATGTGTCAAAGTCAATCACAACGCACCAACCAACCACAAATCTTGCGCACCAAACAACAGAACAACGTGGGCTTCTTGTTGTTGAAGAGCACTGCTGATTATGGTTGTGTTGCGGCCCTGTGTCTCTGTCTCTGTCGCTGTCCACACCACACAACCTTCCCTCCCCCCCCCCCTTACATACGCCTCCAACAGCTGCAAACAATCAGCAACAATCAGCGACAGCAACAAGCAGGCAAGCAGGAACAAGCAAGTAGTAACAGCAACAAGCAGTCAAGAACAAGCAGTTGTTGCTGTGTCATTTTGTTCTCTGTTGCGTACATCGCACCCAATGTCCACAGCCATGGGGTTGGAGTGTGTACACGAGCTGCGGGATGTGGGCAAGCGGCTGTTTGCTCAGCAGCGCTACCAGGATGCACGCAACGCGTACACAGAAGCGCTAGATGTCGTATATGAACAGCGCCAAAAAGACGGTGCAAACAAGCACAAGGCGCTCACCGCCGTCCTCCTCAGCAACCGTGCAGGTGTGTGCGTTTGCGTTCATGGGTGAACTGTAGGTGGATTTGATTGTGTGTGTGTGTTTCTGTGTGTGTGTGTGTGCGCACTGCGCGCACTGCGCGCACTGTGCACACGTGTGCGTGTGTGTGACTGTGTGTGGACTGTGGGCGCACTGGGCTTGTGTGCACGTGTATTGTGCCATCCGTTGTCACTTGCACCAGAGCGCCACAGCTCCGTCATTCGCAATCATAAGCACATGTTCATGCACGCACCCACGCAACCACCCGCACTCACACCCACGCTCACGCACACACACGCGTACACTATTCTCGTCTTGTACATGTATCTTTGACAGCATGCCACGCCAAGCTCGGCCAACTGCAAGACTCGCTTCAGGATTCAATGCAGGCAACAGCACTCAACCCAACCTGGCCCAAGGCGCACACACGGTGAGCTCACACAATACCTTACACGCTGCTTCGGCACCGCTGATGTCAGCTGTGGACCTCGTTCCTACTGATTCGTGTAACGACGCAATGCACTGCAAATCATGCACACGTATGTACACATGTGTTCATCTTGCGACCAGACGATACCACACCCCCTCATTTGCCCCCCCCCCTCCACCTCACGACCTCTCGCGACTGCTGTGCTGTACCTGATCACCACCGTTGCATTTCCCCGCAACCACCAATCCATCGACCACTGTGTGACTGACTGACTTGCAGCGCCGCCACCGCCCACGCGCTCCTTGCAAACTGGAAGGAGGCCCTGTTCCACTACACGGTGGCCACGCAGCTCGCAAACCATCCGCACCACCGCGACGGCATCGTGTCCTGCCTTCTCGCCCTGCTCACCGAACACGATCGACCCGCCAGCATCACCCGCGAAACGGCCGCGCGTATGCTGCTGCTCTGCCCGTTCTCCGGCGACGTGCTGCACACGCCAGTCACACACCACACCGGGCTGTCAGTGTCCAAGCTCAGCCTAGCTGCCGCGCCGCTGCCGCTCGCCCACCTTGAGCCTTGCTTTCCCCAAACCCCATGGGATGTGGACACCCCTGCCTGCGATGTTGCGCTCGCACGCGTCATTGAAAAGCTGCGCCCAAGGTGCGTTGTGCAGCTGCCGTTGTTGCAGTTTGGTATCATGTCGGCATGCATACGTGCGCGTGCATTTCAATCACGAACGAAGACGCCACGCTCATACTGCATATTTGTGTGTACGCATGTGTATGCACGCGTACATGCAGACACAAACACATGTGCACATGCACGCATGCACGTGGACATGCATGCGCGCGCTGTGTCCCCCAGACTCACCAGCAACATGTGTTTTCTCTGCATCTCCATCATGTCATGCAAACAGGGAAACACAAGCTCAGGTGAAAGCAAGCCCCGTGCTCAGGGCAGTGCTGGACATGTGTTCACAGCATCAGGAACAGCAAGAACACGAACCGGAGCGTGCGACGACAAGCACGACTCAAACGACACCCGCCACCAGCAGCATGCACAATCATGGGGGCACCGGCAACACTGCTGCCGCTACCACACATGACTATGCTGTTGTTGATGTTGATCTGGATGATCATGATCATGCAGAAGACGATGACGTTGATGTCGGTGATGATGATGATGATGATGATGATGATGATGATGATGATGATGATGATGATGATGATGATGATGATGACAACGAGCACACGCCAGAGCTGGTGCAGGTTTATGCAGGGAGGAATGTGAGCGCTTCTTCACTGCCGCTGCATGCAAGACAGCAGCTCTCCTCTCTTGAAGAGCAAACAAGAACTCTCTGTCACACCGACCCGTGTCCATTCAGCTTTCTCGCCTGGGCAAAGGTGTGTCGGACTGTGCTGTCGTGGTCGCCCTTGTGCTGTACCAGACGTTTGGAGTGTGTGTTGCACCTCACGTGCACACCTCTCGTGCTTGTGTTGGCCACACTTCCACTCAACGCACGCACCCCACGTTTGTCCGTCTGTGTCTGTGTGTGCGTGTGTGTCTCTGTTTGTGTGTCTGTGTGCGTGCGTGTGTCTGTGTGTGTGCAGGTCAAGATGCTGGAGCAGGCATGGCAACCAGCCCTTGACTGTCTCACACAAGCAGTCGCCCTCTTCCCGCACAGCGGCCTCCTGTACTTGCACAAGGTGTGTCTGCCTGTGTATGGTTCGGGGCGATTGTCGTGAATGGATGTGTTTGGTCAGCAATGGTTGCAACTGGAACACGTCACTTACACACACACACATATGTGCTCTCTCACCACACACACACACTCTCTCTCACACACTCACGCACGCACGCACACACACACACACGCACACACGCACTCACGCACCCACGCACGCAGGCGGAGTGTGAGGCTGAGCTACGACGAGGGGAGTGCGTGCAATCACTACTCGCTGCTGCCACAAACACCTGTCGCCCAACTCGCCTCTGGCCGTCTGTGTGCGACGCCTGGTTGCACGTAGCTTCCACCGCTTGCCCCATTGCCCATGTTGGCTCCGTTGAGTTTGCCCAGCACCTCACAGCGGTGATTGAGCGGTGGTGCTGCTTGCCGCCGGGCGCCACAATGGATGCAAGCGACGACATTAGCGGCAATGCCAGCCAGAGCGAAGGCAGCAACAGCGGGTGTGGGATCGCATCAAGCAAAGACAAGTCCGAGGAGGGAGAAGGCGACGAAGGAAGACAAGGAAGAGATGAGTGCGACCAACACGAGGTGGAATGTACCTCTCCCACGGTTACAATGAACGTAGCAGGTGAAGAAGACGAGGACGAGCAGGAAGAAGAGCAGGAAGAGCAGCAGCAGCAACAACAACAACAACAACAACAACAACAACAACAACAACAACAACAACAACAACAACAACAACAACAACAACAACATGACGGTGATGATATTGATGGGGAGAAGGACCACGGTGGCGTGCTGTGCGCAAGTGATGTGGAGTGCCAGCTGTGCTTTGGCGTGCTGTACGAGCCTGTCACAACCCCCTGCGGCCACTGCTTCTGCCGCGTGTGCATCACCCGCGCATTGGACCACGCTCCTCGCTGCCCCATGTGCCGCTCCTCCCTGCGCCACTTTCTCTCGCGCCGTGAGTACGCGACCACGTGCGTCATGGAGGAGGTGATCCAGCGCCGGTTTCCACATGAGGTCGAGCTGCGGCAACAGCAAGTGTTGGATGAGCTTGCAGAACAACACGACCTCCTCCCCATCTTCGTTTGCATGCTGGTGCGTATCGTATCGTTCCGCGACCGTGGTAGCGTGTTTGTACATGTGTGAGTGCGTGTGCTTGTGTGTGTGCATGTGTGTGTGTGACAAGAGGTTTGCATGCGGTTGTTTGAACTTGTGAGCTTCTGAAAGGAAAGATGTCACCCATTCTCGCATGCACACACGACCATTTCCCTTGATGCAGAGCCTGCCCGGATGGCCGTGTCACCTTCGCATCTTTGAACCGCGCTACCGACTCATGATTCGACGATGTCTGGAATCTGGTACCCGCCGGTAAGGTGAACATTGCGCGCATATGCAGTGATGACGGCTCCGCAAACTGTTTGAGCTGTCGCACCCTGACATGCACAAACATACACACACGTAGACGAAACACACACAGAGCATGCATGTGCACAGCCATGCACACACACACACACACACACACACACACACACACACACACACACACACACACACACACACACACACACACACACACACACACACACATAGCCACCTCACGCTGTCGCTGCGCTGCATGTGACGCCACCCACCTCCCCTCACCCTACTTTCCAAGGTTTGGCATGTGTACGTACACGGAGGATGGGGCAGCAGAGTACGGCGTGCTGCTGAGCATCGACCAGTGCGAGTTTGCGTCAAATGGGGAGATCTACATTGAGGCCACAACCACTCGGCGCTTTCACATCGTTAGCTCAGACACGCGTGACGGATATCTCGTAGCACAGGTGTGGCCCGACAGGGAGACCTGAACACGCATCTGTACCTGCATTTACACACATGAGCACGCGTACACACGAGTATACACGCACGCACACGCACATGCACACGCACACGCACACGCACACGCACACGCACATTCACACGCACACGCACACGCACATTCACCGATACACTCATTCACATGCACATGTGTATGTGTGCCATCCAAGCGCTTTTTTGTTTCTGCTACGCGCTGTCGCTCATGCACTGTTCCTGTGCTATGTGAATGACACACATACACACACATACACACACACATACACGCATACACGCACGCACTACTTGCGGTGCTGTCGGATCAGGTTGAGTACGTCGAGGACGAGGAGCAAGACCCGCAGGAGATGAGTGCCAGTGGCGTGCCATATGTCGACCTGGTGCAGCAAGCACGTGCCTTTGCCAACACACTTTTCAATCGATTTGGCAATCCATTCCTCTATTCCCGCTTTGGTGGCGTACCTGACAACGACGATCTCATTGCTTTTTGGTCAGTGCGTGTATGCATACACAGAGTGTGTGCTGCTTCTTGATGATGCCGTGTGCGTGAGGTCTTGGTGTCGTGTGTTTGTGATGGTGTGCGTGTGTATGTGCTCATTTGTTCATGTGCTCTTGTGCGCTGTGTGCCTGCTGTGCCTGCGTATGAAGTTTAAGTCGACCGCGAGTGAGTACTGCAACATGAAGACTGGCATTCACATGACCATGCTTCTTTCTTCCCCTCTTCCCTCCACTTCCGTGCTCTCGCGCCAAATCTTGTGCCCTCGTGCTGCTCGTGCATTGGTGCTAACAGGCTGGCCGGTGCCATCCACGTCGACCCGACAGTTCAGTACCACATGCTCAGCTCAACGTCCAAGCTTGAGCGCCTTTCGGCGGTGTTGGCGCTGAACAGCCAACCCCGATGCAGCGTCATGTAATCGTCCACGCGTCTGCGACGCACGTGTGCACGTGTGCACTTCTGTTATTTACTTTGCGTCGGTTATTCAGCGCGACACCCCCCCCCCCCCAAAAAAAAAAAGAAAAAAAAAAACCTTGGCCGTGCCTTGGCAATAGTGCCACAACTCAACAAGCATCACGCTCATAAACGATCGATCAAACGTCAACGAGAGACAAAGTGTCAGCGGGTCAAAGGCACATCACATGAGGGAGCCAGCAGTCCCTTCATGAACCACGCATGGTGAATACAGGAACACCCACTCTCTGGTTACGCGTTAATCTTGCGTGTGTCCATCACCACTGCATGTTGTTCATGCGCCTTGTTGCCATCCCTGATCTTTGACACGATAAGAGCGAGGTGGCAGGGCAACCCACACGCCCGTGTTCGTCCCCCAGAGCCGCCAGCGGACGTGCACGAGTCTGATGCTTCGCCTGAGCAGTGGCACGCGTGCTGTTCACCAACACCGTCCAGGTTTCCTTGCGTATGCGCCAGGGATGTAAAGTGGACACAGAATTGCGCCCGCTGTTGTGTTGAGGACAACACCAGGCGCGTTGTTCCGCTGACAACGACCCGTGACGGTGCATGCGATGATGACTGCAACACATCAAGTTGGAAACCGGAGAAGAGCGGAGAAAGAAAGCAGAGTGAGTGAATGTGCAACCATGGTGGTGGGACATGGGGACAGTGGATGGAGAGTGGTGGCAGTGCTGAGGTGTCTTCGTCTGTGCCATGCACGTGTCAAACAAATAAACATGTGCCAAAACAAAACAAAACAACACACACACAACATGGGTCACGCCGGAAAGTGATTGCCAGTGCCAATGATGACTTACAAGGTCCAGGGTGAGGGGAGCATCAGGCGTTGCATGGTCGAACGCATGCTGAGACGCAACGCCGCGGACAACAGTGCCAGTAATCGTCAGCTGTTTGCACGAGACACGAGTAATGCTGCTGATGTCAACTGACGCAGTAGCGTCATCTCTATCTGAGGCCGTGCGTTCGTCGCCGCCTGCGCCACTGCCGCGCTTGCTCTGCTCACGGAACACATCCTCATCGACGATGGTGTGCTGCGTGTTGAACGGGCGCGAACTACCGCTGCTGTCGCCGCCCCTCGCTGCATCTGTGGGGCACCAGCGCAACCGATCACGTATGCTGAAGCGCAGAGCAGACCGCAGAAAGGCGCGCACAAAACAACAAAACCAAAACAAATCCCCAAACACATGCGCAAACGCGCGCGCACACGCACAACACACACACAACACAAGAGCGCATGTGAGATGCAGGAAATACATGGTATATGGACAGGAAAGTCCACAAAACATGCAAACACGCACAGGCACAGAGAGACCAAGTGGCATCGCCATTCAAGACGAGACAACCAGGACTACACAATCACAGAGACAGCAGCTCGCAGGCAAACAACCTTTTGAGAAAGGCTTGTTGTGGGAGGCGTTGAGGAACCAAGATTGACGTGACGGTCATGCTGTGACAACAGGTGGTTGTCGTGTTAGCGGCTGTCGTGGTGGTGGTGGTGGTGGTGGTGGTGGTGGTGTTGTTGTTGTTGTTGTTGGTGGGCGCGACAATCGCCGTCTCGATTTCCGATGCACCACTGCCACCTGCCCAAATGGTGCATATTGGGGCTGTTGTGGGATTTGTCACGTGCAACACGAGCCGTCTGGCCCTGCGGTCGCTGCCTCCATCGTGTGCAGCACCATCCGGTTCCTCGATTGCACTCGACACGCGAACCAGTGCCGGTGTGTGCGTGATGCCGTGTGTCGCATGCACGCGCAAGTTCACGTGTCTGCGGAATTGCGATGTCTTCTGCCCATACTTGATTTTAAGTGTTGTCACAGAGGTGTTCGAAGGACGTGATCCTCGCTTCTGCTGCTGTTCCTGTGAGCACAACATGCATGTGCGCGCGTAATATGGCGTGCGTGCGTGCGTGCGTGCGTGTGTGTGTGTGCAATGAATGTTTGGTGCGCGAATATGCTGCAAATGTCCATAAGTACAAGTGTTGTGTGAACCACCTGTGCATCTCATTGTGTGCATGCCTTCAACCCACAATGGTTGTACGTACAGCGTTTCGCGCGCGCACGTGCACGTCCACCACCACGCATTGCCCCGGTTGAATTGGAAGCTGGCCATGCACAAATGACAACCCTAAACATCAACGGCCGCACATGAAGCAAAGCGTGAGCGCCCAAAGGGAGGAATATACATGGCGACGGCCAACAAAGCACAACCACACACACACACACACACACACACACACACACACACACACACACACACACACACACACACACACACACACAATAGTGCAACCGACCTGCCACGGTGGAGAGAAAGGCAATGTTGACATCGTCGCAATCCACATGAAAGTCATCAACGTCAAGCTGGCTCGTGTTCTGGAAGACAACACGGAAGCGATGGCCCAACTTGTCCAGGGGCGTTCTGCTGCCACAAACATATGCGTGAGTGAAGTGTTGTGCTGTGTGCTTTCGTGTGGCCTCGTGTGGTGCTGTGCTGTGGGGGGGGGGGGTGTTGTGTTGGGTGTATGTATGCATTGCGTCGATGGTGAATCACTGGGCTCCAACACGCAAGCCATGTCGTGTGCAGTGCTCACGTGAGGGTGATGGAGGTGGGGTCGTCGTTGTCTGGCGTGTTCGCTTCCACGATGTGATGCGAAAGGAGCGGTAGAGGTTCGCAGACGTCCACGAGCAGTGACCGCAGTGCACGTGGGGCAACCACCATATCAATGTTGTTGATGACGAGATGTGCCATGGACAGCACACCGGGGCCGCCGGCTGATGGGTGGTTGCGACAGCACACTTGCACACTCTGTCAGTACATGGTGGTTGTGTGGTTATCAACATGAGCCCACAATCACAAGCATGATAATGACAAGAAATACGCACGCGTGAACACACACACACACACACAAGAGAATGTCATCGCATCAAACAATCACACATTCATAAACAGGCAGGCAGAACGAAGCACACACACACACACACACATGTACGTACCGTGTGAGGCTGGATGGTGAAGGGAAGGTCGGTTGCTGCCATCTCCCATCCACTCGTACAGCGAAGGCCAAAGGAGGTGATGTGAAGAGAAACATCCCACGGGTTGTGCAGCCAAACATTGGCCATAAGCTGCGTGTCTCTGGAGACGCGAAGTGTGCGCTGTGCATTTTCTCGCTCCTTTGGTGCAAGGATGAACAGCTGCTGGGCTGGGTGGGCGAGCAGTGGTGCCGGTATGGCCTCAATGCATGCATCCCGGAACTCAAGCAGCCCCTGGCAGAGGTGTGTGTGTGTATGTGTGTGTGCGTATGTGTGTATGTGTATATGTGTGTGTGTGTGTGTCGGGATAGGGCAATGTTACATGGGAATGCGATGAAGGCGCATGATTGCAAGACGTTGAATCCCAGTTGTGCATGCAACAAAACCACGCGCGAATAGCAACGAACAAAACAGTGTGGTCGGTCACAGACACACACACACACGCACACTCACATACACACGCACACTCACATACACAAGCACACACATATATACACACGCACACGCACAAGGGTGTTGTCACGTACGTTTCCTGCGTGGCAGGGCAGCGCAGAGATCTTGAACATGGTGGGCGAGGGATTGGCGACACGAAGGAAGTGCTGACTCAGCCATTGTAGAGCCATGTTGGCCATCCACGTGGTGTCGGTGTTGCTGGTGTTTGCAACGCGTGCTGTGGATGCGCCAAGCGACACAAGAAGGCAATACAGCACACCACCTGTTGGGTGCAATCAAGCGGGACACACATGGTGATGAACATGAAGATGGCAGAAAGAAGACAGCCGAGACACACACACACACACACACAGTGTCGCGTATGCACGAACTGTTACATGCACATCCGAACATGCAGGGTGTATGCACGCATTGCTCCTCCCCGCGTCACACAGCACATGCTGCACCCCAGTGACACACGCGAGTTGTGCCATACGCCACACACACCGGTGTCTTGATCGTTCGTTGCCGTCTCGAGTAATGCACGAAGCGCGTAGAGCTGTAGGGGCGTCAGCAGAGGGTGGACGTGCGTTGCTGCGTCGTCCTGTCAATGCGGTGGTTGAGCACGGGGATGTAAAGGTGGTGCATTGAAGTTTATGTTAGGCACAAAACAATCAGCAAGGCATCACGCGACAGAGTTGGCAGCATTGCACGCCGAAGCGCACACATGGAAGCACACGTTCAGCTCCACACACACACACACACATAGACACACACACACACACACACACACACACACACACACACACACACACGTACGTACCACCGATGAAGGAAGGCCAAGATTGGTGGCAACGACAAGGTGCTGTCCGACACGCGCACCCATTCCTTGGGGCGCTGCAGCTGGCTGTGGTGTCTGTCGCTGCTTGCGCGGCCGCTGTGGCGTGTGTACCCGAACATCACCATCGTCACCCGCATGTGTCACCGTCGTGTCACGGCCACTACTGCTGGCGGTGCTGGTGGCACTGCTACTCATCACACGCCGCATCTGTGGTGACACGGGCAATGAGTCATCGCTGCTGCCGTCATTCCGGCGGTGGCGGCGTTGATGATGCTGTTGGTGATGGTGCGACTGCTTGCTGCTGCCGGCCTTTGCTGGTAACTCGATCGTCTGGTAATTGAGGTGGGTTGCGCATGTGTATGCGTGCACGAGTGTGTGTGTGTGTGTGTGTGTGAGAGAGAGAGAGAGAGAGAGAGAGAGAGAGAGAGAGAGAGAGAGAGAGAGAGAGAG